AGGAGTGAGAGAGAGAAGAATAAGTCAGTCAGTCTGCTCTACAGCCTTAGCTAATAGCCAGTTGGCTTTTAGCCCAAGCACTAAGCTCCAGAGGTCCCAGGTTCGATCCCACCCGCTGACGACCGGGGTCTGTCAGCATTACAAGTGGGGGCTCGGCTGCGATGTCAACTGGGAAGTCTCTGAAGCTCGGGATGTGCTTCTTCAGCTAGGGGAAGTCTGTAACCCACACACTTTCTGGGTGTGGTGTTCTGTCCCATCTAGTGTCACTGAGACCACTTAGAGAGAGAGAGTGAGTCTGCTCTACAGCCTTAGCTAACAGGCAGTTGGCTTTTACCTCATGTGGTAGAGGCTCATGCACTAAGCTCCAGAGGTCCCTGGTTTGATCCTGCCTGCCTCCGACCGGGGTCTGTCAGCGTTACACATGTATCAAAACAATAGCTTTCAAACTAGGATCACCAATTGTCTGGTCCTCCTGTGCCTGCAGAGTTGGACGAGGTGATGATCCATCAGAGGATTATTTTTTCCCTTGCAGAACAGATGAAAGCTAAAGCATTGCACCAAAATATTGCAGCCTTTGTACGTGGCAAATGAAATCTGACGTGCTTTTCGAGGCACTGAAACAGACCGTCTGAACTTCTGTAGGCCCTCACCTAAGGTGAGCAAATGTGCTTGATAGTCCCCTGAAGAGCAAACTCCTAATTTGTCTAAAGTGGCACTAGCAAATTTCATTGAGCGCCACGAGGTGCATAGAGCTCACAGAACACTGTTTACTCTGCATTAATCTGTTGTTCTAGAACAAACAATTTAAAATCTTGAGCATATTTGAGTAGATAAATAGTAGGGTTGTCTTATCTACAGAAAAGGAACGGTGCCATTTCAACTCTGTGAATGAGCTGAAGTCTGTCTGGGGTTTTTTTGAAACATCAGCTACGCGTTAGCTGTGCTGGCTTGTTCAGAATGGAATGCATGAACTGTAATTATGCTTTGAACACCTTAACTTTGGCACAAATTCACTTAATGTTAACATCCAACTAGCATTTTCCTTGTATGCCCACATTAAGATGGAATTTAGGAAGATAACATTGCCAATATATGGCATTGTCCCAGGAGCAAAAAATACCCTGTTAATATATAACAGGCTTTGAGGACATTAAGTGCTTTACATACCATGCTTAGATGTTATCGGGACTTGAATATATCATTGGGATTTTTTTTAAGTTGACATGTTAATATTTAGGGATGATGCCAGCTTTCATCTGAAACTCTGCACCCGACTCTGGCACAGAAAGTGGTCGTGACTGGCTATTTACGGTCTTGACTGGCTTTTTAGTGCATTTAGAAGAGCATTCTGATGCATGGTGATGAACATGATCTCAATCCTTAAACCACAGCCCCATAGCGTAGGATGTGTGGTTGCCAGTTCTACACATAAAGGAATTTCCATTCTTTCCTGCTTCCACATTGTGGTTTCATTGTTTGTAAGTGTCACAATTCAGGGCAACCGCTGAATGTGTTTCCCTTCTGTGATCCATCAAGGGCACCCACTCTAGGCTCCTGGCTCCTCAGCTGTCAACTCTTTTGGGGGGCGAGCCATGTCTCTCTCCCTCCTGACCAGGGTTTCTCCAGGCTGCACCGTTCCCTGCCTACACTGTGACATTCCCAGCAAGCCAGACTGCCTAAAGAGGCCAGTGTTTGCTCTTTACTTTCTGTTTGAAGGCTATGAACAATGTATTGGCCAGCAGTTATGAGTTACCACACAGCTCTTTATAAGCAAGCACATTGCTTCTTAAGGTAACAGCATTATAGAGAAAACATTTAAAAACAACCCAAACACTACATGCATGCTAATAAGCTTACCAGAGGTCACCCATCAGTCTTATGGGGCCTCTGTAGGCCAAAGTCCTTCCAGACCTTCCCAGGAAGGATTGTGGGCCCTCCTTGGACAGAAGGTCCTGTCTGTTTGCTGGATCAGAAAGAAGGCCTTGAGTCAGTTTAAACTCCAGCTGTTTACCCAAAAGTGCTTTCTTTATCTGTTGGTCTCTGGATAATCTAGTTTGAACTAGTCTATGTGAGCCTCTCCAGGAGGTAGTATCCCTCTCTGAGGGGGTTACAACCTGGTTGAGTTGCCTTAATCCCCACCTGCTGGTTTTAGTTCTTGTAAGAGCTGTAGTACGTCGCTTCTCGGCTCTCTGTGAGCTGAGGGGTGAAAACATTATCTACTCTCTCAACCCCCAGCGTAGAACACACAAGCCATTCATTTAAAACAGTGGACCCCAAAGATGGGGTTGAAATGTCTGCCACAAGCATCACTAATCTTGGAGCTGGCACCAGAAACTGCAAGAACGAATGTCCATGTTGATTAGTTTCTCTAGGTAGTCTGCTCACTCCCCCGCCCCTTCTTGTTTTAAGTTCCCAAGGGGTTTATTTTCTGTGTTCAAGCAGGCTTCTTGTAAATCAGATCCACATGAAAACATCTATTTCTAATATTTGGTGAAGCCCTTTTAAAGCAGAGGAAGGGCTGTATACATTCTAAGCGTGCTGCTGTTGGGCTTTAATCTGTCTGTTACAAGTTGCTTGTTCTATAGTCCATACTGTAGCCGCGCATTTTATTTCTCCCTGATTCATGCCGTCTCCGTGTTTGATGTGTTCTTGCCCTAACCAGGCCTTTTTCCCTTCTTTTTTGCAGTTAACGTGACCTATTCTAAGGATTCCCCCTCCAGTCAGAGGTCTTCCACCATGGCACCTGGCAAGGAGCGGAAAATATTATATGGTAACACTCCACACTTGTGTGCATGTTAGGAACGCAGGAATTGCTATACAGGATCAGACCAGTTGTCCATTTAGTTCAATACTTTGTTTCAGGCCAGTGATTGGTACCAGACTCCTTAGAGGAAGAGACAAGAATTCCCATAATAAACAATTACAAAATAGTTATAGGCAAAGTTCTTTCCTAACCTCACGCAATTTCCATCCTTCTCCTGTGAACTGGCAAGGTTATAGATTGGAAACCACTTAAAATGGGAGAACCAAGGCTGGGATTTTTTAAGACCCTAAGGGAAGTAGGTGGCCATATCCCATTGAAATGTCATGGGGTTTGGGTGCCTAACTCTACGAGGCTTCTTTGGAAATCCCAGTGCAAATTCTTCCCTCTCTTAATCAGAAGGAGACTGTGACTGAATCCAGTCTTAAACATTATTTGCATGCTACTTCCAGTAGAAAGCAATAGGTTTTGAGATTCCATGAAAAGAGTGTAACAAATCTCTAGACAGATAGGACTGTCCACCTGCTCTGGTTACAATCTTTCCAGTTAAGTCATGTCATCGTTGCCTGTGAACCAGTTAGTGAAAGCAGTGGATAAAAGAGGAGAAACCAGACAGTAACTTTAAATCCTGCTTCCTTAGTCTAATTAGAGTAACATTGATCTGGGTTATGAACAGTACTTGCTTTGGATAGTCACAGTGTCACAGTTGGGTGCAATTCACTTTTAGCCCTGAGCGTCCCAAAATGCTTCTGGTATTGCAGCTCCCTGCCTCGGACTTGCACGCAGCCAACATGCTCCTTGTATGCTGTACAGCTTTGATTCAACCACTTGGAATCCAACAGCCTGACAGCAGTTATCCCGGCCAGTTTTGTCTTTACCAGACTTGGTTAATGTTAGGAGGTGATTGCAGCACACCCCTAGTCCCGAACTTCCCTAGACCCATGCGCTCTGCAGTCTCCACCCCTCTTCAAAGGAATAAGGTCTGTTTGCTCTTTTAATGAGAAAACCTTTTCTAACCTGTGCTCCGTGGACCCCTGGAGATGCGCAGACTGTCTAAGATTTCCAAAGGGGTCTGCACCTCCATTCAAAATTTTTTAAGTGTCCGCAAATGAAAAAAGGTTGAAAACCGCTTCTGTAGTACAGACACAGCGATGTTGGTTTCGATTAATAGTAACACAAGTTTATTAACAAAAGAAGATAGGATTTGAAGTGAGCTCAAGTATATGATCAAGTTAGAAATGGTTACAAGCAAATACAAGTGAAAACACGCATCTAAAAGTCTAAAACTTAATCTAGCAAGTTTTGGTTCAAGGCTTAGTTCAAGATGGCCTTTCTCACCCATAGTTTTCCAGCAAGATGGTGACTGACCCTCTCCTCAGTCAAGATCTCTTCCAGAGGCCTAAAGGTGCTGGTGTCTTTTTCTGCTTAGCTGAAAGAGAAAACTTGGGGTTCTCTGCCCCTTCCTCTTATAGTCTATTGAATCTTTGAAGTGGATTCTTCTGAAGTAAAGTTTCACCAAGCTCGGAGGAAGGGGACATGGAGTTTGGTAGAGCATGGAGCTTCCTTCACCTTCTTCCCTCCCTATTGTGTTTGCTAATGTGCGGATTGTTCTGTTTCCTGCCATCTCCTCCCCTGCTGTCTTGATGATCCTGTTTACTACTTATCTGTACCCTGAGGTAAACACATTCCTTTGTTTAGGATTGATCTCTTTGAGCAGAACATGTGCATCATACGGGGGGATTCATAACTTTCCATATCATGTTGCTACGTATATTTCACCATATTATTGACCAGGGAATTAGTAGGTTTCAAATGATACCTCACAAGGCATATTTTGTACAAAGATTATTACGGTACTTTGTAGGGTGTTAGTAAAGGGGTTCTTTGGGTCACTCACAGGTAGAACTAAGATTTTCTGGCTGGCCTGTTTTGGTATGACTTACACCTTTGAGATTAGCTGTTAGTTGAAAATTGTGGCTGAAGCCAGTTCTCAGGCTGTCACTTCCCAGCACCATTAAGCAACAGATTGACTGTTCATATAACTTCCTTAGTTTGGTTGAACTAGCTGAGCAAGATATTGTGCAACCAAAGCTACTAAGAAAAGAAACACACACAGGTGCTGTTGCTTTAAATCTATTTTATAAACAGATCTGCTGGCAGGCCGGTCAGGTATTTAGGAGGCGGGGAAATGAGGAACAACCAGCTTCAGTTTGCTTTGATGATGCAATTGGAAACTGTGTAAGAGCCCAAACCTGGCTTTTACTTCGCTGGTTATAAATGGTGACTTTTGCTCTTAGTAAAGGAGGCAGGATTAAGTTGTATGCTGCTTTTCCTCCTCTGAAGCAAAAGCATAATGCCAGGAGGTGGTAGCCAGAGTGAGTATAACATGGGGGATGGAGTTGGCTTTTTGTTCTGGGCTGGTGCTGGGGGGGAGTGGAAAGGAGTTAAAGGACTTGATGTCAAAGTTGTTGGCAGTTGTAATTCTGTCACGGGACTGACCCCGTTTACCTGACTTACAGCCTAAAATTAGATACTGTCCAGAGAGTTCAGCAGGACTGGGTGTCTGCTGTGTGCTCTCCCTCGGATCTTGGGAGTCGGGATAATGATCCCCTAGTCTCCTTTAATGTCTCTTACTCCTTGCTTCCAAAGATCTAACAAACTGTGCATTGTGCCTTCCTGAGGCTGAATTCAGTGCATTGGCAGCATCTTCTAGGGCAGGGGTGGGCAAACTTTTTGGCCCGAGGGCCACATCTGGGTTGTGAAACTGTATGGAGGGTCGGGTAGGGAAGGCTGTGCCCCCCCCCCCAAACAGCCTGGCTCCCCGTCCCCTATCCACCCCCCTCCCACTTCCTGCCCCCCTCAGAACCCTCAACCCATCCAACCCCCCCTGCTCCTTGTCCCCTGACCTCCCCCTCCCGGGACCCCCTGCCCCTAACCGCCCCCCAGGACCCCACCCCGTTTCCCCTTCAAAGCGCCGCTTCTCTCCATCCAGCTGCACAGCTGCCTGGTGCTCCTCCTGAGTCCTCCGCCCGCGTTCCCCACGCTCCTGCCACCCGCACCGCCCACTTGCTCCCCTGCCCCCGCAGTGCAGCCCTCCCCCCCCGCAGGGGGTGCGCCGGTGCTGAGCTGCCCGAGAGCCCGGCCCTGGGGCCACCTGTTGTTGGGGGGCCCTGTCAGGGCACCCCGTGTTCACCCCTGAGCCGCGCTACCCGGCCGGAGCCAGCCACACCCCTGCACTGCCAGCACGGCGAGCTGAAGCTGCGGGGGAGGGGCCGGGGCCGGCCAGGAGCTCAGGGGCCGGGCAGGACGGCCCCGCGGGCCGGATGTGGCCCACGGGCCGTAGTTTGCCCACCTCTGTTCTAGGAGCTTAAACTGAACTTCCAGGCACGCGGCAAAAGATGGTCGGGTTTTTGGACCGGGCTAAGGTTTGTTAAAATGAAGGGGTGGAAGGGGAGTGCCTGTAGGTGTTGGGCCGCCTGAGTGGCACTTACAGCAAAAGCCCAGCAGCAGCGAAGTAGTAATTTCATTTATTCTATTGGTAATGATTTGTTAAGGTGCCGAGAGCTTGGGCAGGCCTCTTAATATTTGAAATAAAAAATAAACTTGCTTCGCTCGCATGTGAACGCGAGAGCTGGAGAACCCAGTCTCATTGCAGTAGCTTCTTTATGTGGATTTGCCGCTCCACACGTTTCATTCCTCCAGGTGTTTGAAAAAAACCCAAAACCGCCTACCCACCAATCCTGGCAAGGGATGGCAGTGGGGCTAGAACATTCGCTTTCTGCTTTGCCTATGGCACTTGCAAGTTCCATTTTAAACCGGCCACGTTCCTAGCATCATTTCAGCACAGTGACGCCTCCCTTGTTTTACACGTGGCTTTTTGTAAATCCAGAAGATGTCCCTGAAGACCATGAGGAGGTCATCAGCACGGTCTACAGCAGCCCAGTCCCGCAGCAGTCTCCGGAGTCCAATGATGAACCATTCACCACCTACTTTGATGAGAAGATCCCTATCCCTGAAGATGAAAAGGTCAGTGTGGCTGGGCCCCAGACTTCGCAAGCTCATCTTGGTGGGGAAATGGCTTTAATAGAAGTGGTAGTAACCTAGATGACTTGTTTCCCTTTGTGGGCGCTGGGTCCCTTTTCAGTTTAAATTGAGGCGCTAGGTAGGAGAGCTGGCTGCTTGTTTCTAACTATGGAGAGCTATGTTGAGAAGGGGATGAGGTGTCTGCCGTGCTTGCATGGGATTCAGTGACCCAAGTAAAACAAAATGAGTGACTGTCAGCAAACGAACACAAAGCAAGTGACTGCCAGGTTCACTACCTGCTGTGGAGGCCAGTTTACCCACATGGCTATTGCTGCATTCAGAGTAAACAGGTCAGCAAACACTCCTCCTGCTGCCTCTATCCGGGTTGGCAGACTTTTACAGAACCTTCAAAGCATTCGTCTGTTTCAAGTGAATGCGCACTCCTAATGAGGATGGGCGTAGCACTCACCCCAGAGCCACATTGCTGTCTTTAGTTATGTTTCCCAGGACAGCAGTTTCTGCTAAAGATTGGAGAGACATCTAGCGTGCGATTCCCAGGTGGAAATTGGCTTTGCTCTTACCAAGAAAAGCAAGTCAGAATAGCTGTTTCCATGCTAAGCTGGGCCCACCAGCATAGTGGCTGAGCCATATGCCCTTCACAAGGAGCTCTGTATGGGATGCAGTTGCTGTCTTCTCTGTAAAGAGCAGGCAAGCCAGCACTTGTCAGAGGATTGCATGCAAAGTTAGCGTGATATCCTCCCCCAGCTAAAGTGCTGGTGACCCTGAAGGTCTCAAAATAAAGAAGGGCTGCACTTTGGAATTCAAAATAAAGAGAGACTGATAAGAGAATGAAGAGATCTTGCCAGGGGCTGGTGGTTGTTTCACTGGCAGCTAAAAAAGCTTGTACGCCCCTCGTACCAATTTTTTTGTCTTAAAAATGGGCCGGTTCCTGGAAGCTGTGCTCTGTTTTGTTTGGAATCAACGCCAGTCTTTGGTGCAGAGCAGAGTCTTAACGTCTCAATCTTCTCTTCCATTTTAAAGCACTCATGGTTTAGCTTCCGCAAACTCTGGGCCTTCACAGGGCCAGGTTTTCTCATGAGCATCGCCTACCTGGATCCAGGCAACATCGAGTCGGATTTACAGTCCGGCGCTGTCGCAGGGTTTAAGGTCAGTGTGAAGCTTTCCAAACTGTGAAGCAATTTTATGCTGTACTTCCAAGCCCACCACCTCTCCTAGCAGGTGCCTAGCGCAGCTTCCAGATGAAGGCGCTGAACCAGTGTTGGGCTAAGTGCCAAAGGCCTCATCAGTGCTGTCGTTCTGAAAAGTTTGGCCAGACTCCCTACTGCAAGGGGTCTAAAGTTCTGCCTCCTGCGTTGCTTGGAAGTTACCCTCTTGGATGGGTTGAGGGCTCTGAGGGGGGCAGGAAGTGGGAGGGGGTGGATAGGGGGCGGGACCAGGCTGTTCGGGGAGGCACAGCCTTCCCTATCCGGCCCTCCATATAGTTTCGGAACCCCAATGTGGCCCTCAGGACAAAAAGTTTGCCCACCCCTGGTTTAGCAGATCTTAGGCTTGCAGTATACCTGAGAGTGAAACCGGGCAACAAAATGGCTTGCAGGTTTATTTGCATGCAGCCCCTTGTATATGTCAGTGCCAGGCTTATAAAACCAAGCATGGAATCTCAACAGGACTGCACTTCCAAATGGATCGACTACGTTCCTGGCTCCTATTAATAAGAAGGCCTGTGGAGGGAACTATAATGTCAGGAGACCCAGACGTTCTCCAGTGCAAGTCCTGGCTTGTTCATCTGCCTCCGAAGCATCTCATTACTCAAGGTTACTTACCTCGCGTTGTTGCATCTCTTTCAGCTGCTTTGGGTTCTGCTGCTTGCCACTATCATTGGTCTCCTCCTGCAACGTCTGGCAGCAAGGCTGGGAGTGGTAACAGGACTGCACCTTGCAGAAATGTGTAACCGGCAATATCAAAAGGTGGGTGACTTAAAGGTCTTTAGATTCGAAATAGTGACTCTGGATGCTGTTCCCGTGGACTGGGCTGCTCAGAGATCTGAGATCTTAGTCGTGTCACCGAAAATAAAGCTTTCTGAATGGCTGGAACCCAGAAATGTGGAGGAATTGAAATTCCAGGAAGGGCTGAGAGGAGGGGAAAGAGCAGACATGGAGCCTCCACTTCCAGACAGTGCCTTCAAAATGGTTCTGAACTGAAGGGCTTGGGGATGGTACAGGTGACACCTCTTTTGGTCTCCACTGTTGGTTCAAAATTGGTGTGAATGGCGCTTCCTCCTTTGTCTGAGAGCTAGTCTACACTAGAATCGCTACTGTGGCACAGCTGTACTGATAGCACTGCTAGTGCAGACACTCCCTTCCAATGGGAGAGAGCTTTCCCGTCGCTTAGCTACCACCGCTCGGGGAGGTGGAGTAATTAAGCCAACGGGAGAACTTCTTCCACCAACATAGTGCTGTCCACACCAGCACTTAGGTTAGTGTAACTTACGTCACTCAGGGGGTGGTTTTTCCAAACCCTTGAGCGATTTAAGTTATACCAAAGTAAGAGCCAAGTGCGTCTCTTTAGGGAAAGAGTTCTTGCTTTTCTGCATGCAAAGCAATAAGGGCCAGTAGAGACACGGTCCCTCTCAAAAGCCATTCATTGTGTGTGTGACAACTCTTCCTTTTGTACAGCAAAGCACAATGGGTTCAAAGAAAAGCCTTGCCTTGGTGGGGAGAGGTGTGTGTGGAAAAGCACCCTTGGCTTCCCAGTGGCTAGTCTGAAAGGTGGATTGTTGCTGGGCAGTGGCTGGGGGATGAAAGGAAAGATTAGACATGAAGCCCAAGGGTGGATTCAGTGCATCCTCTAAAGGGATAACAGTAGTTTAAATGTCCTTGCTGAGTTTACATTGGTCTTACTCCAATTTCTAAACTGACGATCTTGTGGGTATGTGTCAGTTTGTGACTTGCTGTCTCAGGCAGTCCGCACCTCTCTTGTGGTTCATGTGAATGTTACTATTGATCAGCATATGTTAAATCCGCCTCTAACGGTGGTGTTTTATTTCTAAAAAATAGACTTGTGAAGTTCACTTTTGCACAATGCCCATGTAGCTGAGGATTTCAGGATTGACTTCTGCAATGGCCTGTGGTTGAAAGCACATAAACCCTGCCGTTCTGATACTTGGCAAACAAGTGCTAATGTTACCCCAGATTTGGCACTAACAAAGTCTCTAGATCTGGCACACGCTAGCTTCCTTTGATATAGGCTTTATAATACAACTTTGCACACATGTTTGAGGGTGCTGATGTACTTTCCAAACATGAAACCTCACAGCATGCCTGCCTACCGTGAGGTTGGTGGTATTGTTCCCATCTAGAAGGGAGAGACTGGGGCACAGACGTTGAATGATTCTCCTGTCGTCTCACAACATTGGCAGAGTCAGGCATAGAACCCAGGAGTGTCCTGACTCCCTAGTTCCCTGTTCGAACCACTGAATCGGGTTTCCTCTTCAAATGACTGGAGAGATTTAAAACTAGCACGAGGGGTCATGAAGAAAGAACGCGCATTACCGTTGGCTGTTGAGGAAATGCTCATGGTTGTGTAAGCTTACAGTTATGACTTACTTTTCAGCTGAAAATGAGTAAAGCCATCCAGTGGAAATCATGGATCTCCCCTTAACCAGTATTTCCAGTAATCTTACACAAACCAGTTTAAAGGGACTAAGTCAGACAATCAAGGCCATAAGGTTGGGTTGTCCATCTAAAATTGCCTCCCTCCCTCCCCCCCACATTTAATCCCTCATAAGAAAAGTCGTGGCAACTTGATTACATTTCTGTTGGGAAGGCATTTTGGGGTGTTGATTTAAACCTGTCACAAATGCACACCTGCCATTCTTGCCGCTCATATGCTGCAGTAAACACATCTGTCTAGTTTCACGATCCAAACTGAGCAAGGAGCAGAAAATAAACTGTAAAAGTTGAAGCGCAGAAGGTCTTCAAAACTCGTGTTAGCAATGTAAAGGCCTGATCCAGTATATACTGAAGTCATGGGTGTCTTCCGTTGACTTCTGTGCTGAAAGAGAAGATGGGTTTCCTAAATTATGCTGTAAACCCCCATAAGTCTGGCAGGAAGTTGGGGAAAAGAAACTTCCCCTGTAATAGTCTATTCATTATTTCTGGTTTTAATTTCAAGTATCTGAAGCTCAGTGTTTGTATCTAGGTCCCTCGAATTATGTTGTGGCTGATGATTGAACTCGCTATCATTGGGTCGGATATGCAAGAAGTAATTGGCTCAGCAATCGCTATAAACCTCTTGTCTGCTGGGAAGTAAGTTGGCTTTTATCACTTGAGAGAAACAGGAAATGAATGTCATTCTCCATCTCTAGTGTTTATCAGCTGCCCATATCCCATTAGAAAACAACACACTTTGTGCCAAAAAGGACCGTTTTATTTCCTGTAGTTGACAATCTTAGCAGATCACTGCCCTGTTCTGCTCAGCAGGGTATGAGCTTCCCTCTTTGCATTGTGTATTACATAAAAAGTATTTGAGATTAAAGGTTTTTAAATAAAATGGGCATTTCTGAGCCCACAATTGGCACCAGCCGTTGCTGATGTGACACATTGTAGAACTGTAATAAGCTTCCCTTTGGCTTTTAGACCTCATGTTAAACCAGAACCTTACTATCTGTAACACCGGAGGAGCGTCTGTTAAATCAGAACTAAAGCTGGAAGGAAATTGGTGTAGAGTCTTAGCCTAGAAGGCCAGAGCCCAACTGTGTTTTAGCTCGGTGTTCCCTGCAAGTTAGCCACTTCCACCAGGCAGCGTAGAAATGGACTCTTAATCAGAAACTAACAGGCTCATTGCACTATAGTAGATGAGAAGTATCTCTCGCTCCAGAAACTTTTGGCTCGCTGTGCAGAGAAATGTAGGCATGGCTTAAGGTGGAACTCTTATCTGAACTGTTTATGTAGAAAACAGCCTTAGCCTCATGCCTAAAGTAACCAAGCAGCTTGTCAGATGACAAATAAAACCTTGAGATAAGTGTTCAATAACAGCACACAAAAAGTGGCCATGATCCCTGCCTGGAATATAGGGAAGCTTGGACTGACATGGCTAGAAGAGCTGGTAAAAGCACTATTCAAACTAAGCCCTGTTGTTCTGTTGCAGAGTCCCGTTGTGGGGTGGAGTGCTCATAACCATTGCTGACACGTTCATGTTTCTCTTCTTGGACAAGTATGGTAAATTCCTTTTTTTTTTTTTTCCTTTTAATTATTTTTAATGTCCCATGAAAGGACATGCAACAGATTAAATCGGACAGCTGCCCCCTCAACATTATGCCTGAGACTTGTCCTCCAAAACTTGTTAATGGCCTGTTTCTTCCACAGGCTTGCGAAAACTGGAAGCATTTTTTGGCTTTCTTATTACCCTCATGGCGCTTACGTTCGGATATGAGGTAATTCTCACTTGAACGTCTTGGAGCTTTACTTAGCAATTAGAGTGACGCTCCCTCTCCCCTTCTTTCTGTCGAACTTGTGTCTTCATTCTCTCCTCTCAAACATTTTAGAAACCAGGCAATCTAATTTCTTCCTCTGATTTTTGTCCTCTTCTGCCAGGCCCTCCTGAAGTCTCCTTTGCCCGTGGCCCCAATTCTGGAAAGCACTTTAAGCCCTGGCTTAAAGATAAGCATATCAGAGCTGATCCAAAAAAAAAAAAAAAAAAAAGTTTTTCCCATGCAGCTTTTTGAGTTTTTAGTCAAAAACCAAAAGATTCTGGTTCAAAAAACCCAAATTTTCCATGGAAAGCGGTTTCATTGGAAAATTTTAGACTAGTTCTAAAGCACATGCTTTAATGCTCTCCTAGATTTTTGCGGTGGGGCCCACTTTAACTGCCCTGGGGTTCTATTTGCTTCCTGGCTCAAAGCTGGTTGGCACTGGTCTAGAAGGTTAGACCTGCCCAAGAATTGTTAGCTGTTTATCTGCCTCCAAAAAGCTACTTGGGGGTGTACAACACTCCTCTTTCAGTGCTAGTGGGTAACCAATATCTGAGTTTTTTAAAGGGGGGAGCTATTGCCAAATTACTGCATTTTTTAGGTGGGGCAAATTTGGGGCCTTCCAAGTTGGCCATCTAAGCAACTGTGTGAACGCTGCCAATCCAGAGGTACTAGTGGCTCTCTTGTGTCTGTGTGCAGTATGTTACAGTAAAACCGGACCAGGGAAAGCTGCTGAAGGGGATGTTTATGCCTTACTGTGACAAGTGCGGTACCCCCCAGCTAGAACAAGCTGTGGGGATCGTGGGAGCGGTCATCATGCCGCACAACATGTACCTGCATTCTGCTTTAGTCAAGGTAAGAGAGGGGGGAGTCCTGTGTCCCCTCTAGTTCGCTCTTCAGAAGTACAACGAATAGCTGTGACTGGCCTTTTCAGAGTGGGTGACGTCAAGGAAGTCAGTAGCAAAACTCCCATTGATTTGAGTGACTGCAGAGTTAGTCCAAAGTCAGTGGGAGTTTTACCTCCGACAAGTGAATGCCGATGCTGAGCGCCTTTGAAAATCCCTTCAATAGTAGCAGTTCCTGTAGCCTTTGCGGAGAACTCTCCATACTTTGGAATCAGCTCAGTAAGCGGATTCTGATGTTGACTGTGCTATGTAAGTTTTCAGAATTAGAATATGCCATGTGCACCTGATAAAGAAATACGGTATCTCTTACGTAATAGGGTAAATTGAATAAATTGGCTGAACACGCGTTAACTATGTGTTTGCGTGACAGAACCTGGGGTCTAAATTAACACTTGGCAAACCCCTTAAACCATATTTCAGACATCTGAACAGTGTTTCCCAGTCTCTCTGCCTTGTGGGATTCATCCATATTTGATTCTACTGGGGACAAGATAACAAATCCAGGCTAATTTTAAAGCTGAAGGCCATCAGTCTGTCCTGCAAACAAGATGGGCTTTTTTCTCTTTCCCCCTCCCCACAGCAGCATATGTTTAGCGCTCAGGCTGCTGCCGCCCCTTAATTTACTAGCTCCTTTATCTTGGGGCACATCCCAGCATCACAGCAGAAGGCTGAGCAGCCTCTGGGCGCCAGGGTAAGCTGGAAAGCATGTCCAGCATGGTGAGATTTCATTTGGAGCTGCAGTTGACCATGGGGAAATCCAGTCTGCCGGAGCAACGTGCTCAAACAGGTGGTGTTGCTAGTGCATCCTGTGGATGGGTGCTTGTGTGAATGTGGCCAGCCACAGCCCTGCTTCTTCAAACCATGCCCCTTTGCTCATTGTATGCACCCCATAGCATTGTTGCATTAGCAGCTACTCTTGGCTAGCTGGTGTCTAGTGTCTCATGCTGTTTACTGCTGTTTGTAAGGCCTAAGGAGGGATCCAGTCATGGGCAGGGCTCAGCTCTTAATATTTGCTGTCAGACAGGATAGACATATTCTGGCCAAAGTTCAGTAGAAATCCAGAGGCACCACCTGTTGTAGATACAGCTGGTTCCATCGACTAGAGGTTCTAAAATACTCTCTCATAATTGTCTTTAAACACTTTCTCTCCAGTCGAGGCAGGTGAATCGTGCAGACAAGAAGGAGGTGCAAGAAGCCAATAAGTATTTCTTCATAGAGTCCTGCGTTGCCCTCTTTGTCTCCTTCCTCATTAACGTCTTCGTCGTCTCTGTCTTTGCTGAAGCTTTTTTTGGGAAGACTAATGAACAAGTGGTGAGTCTCTGGGGTTTGTTGGGGGTTGTGCACTTGTGTTGTGGCGATTCTGGATTACTGGGAGTAATCTACACGGTGGGTATATCTACATTGCAGTCGGGAGGTGTGATTTCAGCACATGTTGGCGTACTCTAGCTCAAGTAACAATAGCAATGAAGCCAAGGCAGGCAGGCAGCAGCATGGCTAGCCCTGCCCACCTGGGACCCCGGATACCTACTCGGGGCTACCACCGCCCATGCTGCCACAGCTTCACTGCTGGTTAGATCAAAGTTAGATCAGGTATGTCTGTGCATACTTGAGTCGCACCTCCCAGCTGCAGTGTAGACACACGCTGTGCACCGGGGTTAATAATAGCTACTGTGTTAACAGTGGGCCTAAGTGTTTCATGCACCGAGGGCCTGATTCTCTTTTACACCAAGGCCCCTTTACACTGCCCTGGCAGGCATAAATGTAGGGGGGATAGCTCAGTGGTTTGAGCATTGGCCTGCTAAACCCAGAGTTGTGAGTTCAATCCTTGAGGGGGCCACTTAGGGATCTGAGGCAAAAATCAGTACTTGGTCCTGCTAGTGAAGGCAGGGGGCTGGACTCAATGACCTTTCAAGGTCCCTTCCAGTTCTAGGAGATATCTCCATTAATTATTATTATTTATTATTATATTATCTGATCTTGCCCTAGCCTGCAAGATGCACCCAACACATTAATGCTAATGCATTTCATCTGGCCAGCTCCTCCACCCCAAACTCTACCAGCCGTGGTTTCTGCTCTCTGAAATCTGTTTGCAAAAATGAAACTTCCTAAACTGTCTTGTCCTCTTCTAGCACAAAGTCTGCACAAACAGCAGCAGCCCCCATGCCGGACTCTTTCCAAATAACAATGAAACCTTGGAAGTGGATATCTACAAAGGGGTGAGTGGCTTTATAGTGAAGTCAGGCAGGGTGATCTTATCTGAATGATCCCCTTAACATCCTTGACTGAGTTATATGCAGCTGCTGCTTCTGAATAAATGGAGACTATTCAAGGCTTGAACCTATGAGACTATAAGAGCTGTCCTGTTGGAACAGAACAGCGTTCCTTCCTGTCTAGGCCCGTGGTCAGTCTGTCGGAGCAGCTGGCTCCAAGAACTCTGCTTTTGACTGAGCATTTAAATCTAGGATTTAACACCTCATGACTGGAAACCTTCTGTGTTTCAGGGTGTTGTTCTGGGATGTTACTTTGGCCCTGCTGCTCTTTACATCTGGGCAGTTGGGATTCTTGCGGCAGGTCAGAGTTCAACAATGACTGGGACCTACTCTGGGCAGTTTGTCATGGAGGTATGTGACGCTACAGCTGTGCCGGCTTATGGCTGTGTTTCCCCCCTGCTCCTTGTAATCCCCTGAAGTTGAGATGGTCAGTGGAGGCCTAGTTTCCTTTCCTGGCCATGTAGTTTGCTGAAGGATCAGACTTTCCTGCTATTGACCCATGTACCAGACTCTTAGGCTGGAATTTTCCAAAGGGAATCGGGGACCTAACTCAGGTTTCTGTAAGAGAAAAAACTCCCCCGGTAGTAGATCATTCCTCTTCCCCCTGTTGCAGTTTAACGCTGTGGAATGTTGCTGCGTAGCAACAGCCGCTCTTCCGTTTCTCTCCCCGAAGGGATTCCTCAACCTGAAGTGGTCGCGTTTTGCTCGAGTGATTTTGACCCGCTCCATTGCCATCACTCCAACCCTGCTGGTCGCCATTTTTCAAGACGTTGAACACCTGACTGGGATGAATGACTTCTTGAACGTTCTTCAGAGCTTACAGGTGAGCAGCTGGGCACTCACAGCACGGGACTGTTCCTTGGAGAGTCATGTCTAAGCATTCGCTATTAGTAACTCCTCGTTCCGAACCAACCTCTTAGTCACTACTAGTGTTGGCTTTAGGGCCTTCTGTTGGCCCACTTATGAACATTTCTGTAAGCTGGTTGGCTGAGGGGTCCTGAGTGCAGAGAGCTCAAGTATGGAGGGGAGCGGGAGGGGCCTGTAAATGGCAGCAGTTGCCGTCAGAATTGGGTTTTCCAGCAGCAGTGAATTTAGGATCTGCCCCTGATCTGTAGATGCTTGTGGACTGTGGCCAACGTTGGTTATAGCAGTGGTTCTCAACCAGGGGTCCGGGGCCCCCTAGGGGGCTGTGAGCAGATTTCAGGGGGTCCGCCAAGCATGGCCAGCGTTAGACTCGCTAGGGGCCCAGGGCAGAAAGCCGAAGTCCTGCTGCATGGGACTGCAGCCTAGGGCACCAAGCCCCACCACCTGGGGTTGAAGCCAAAGCCTGAGCAACTTAGCTTCAGAGTGCCCCCTATGGTGTGGGGCCCTGGGCAATTGCCCTGCTTGCTACCCCTTAACACCGGCCCTGGCTTTTATATGCAGAAAAACAATTGTTGTGGCACAGCTGGGCCATGGAGTTTTTATAGCATGGTGGGAGGGCCTCAGAAAGAAAAAGGTTGAGAACCCCTGAGTTATAGAACAGGTAAGTTACTTCTAGGCTTTTATATGCCTCTCACTGAATTATCTGAGCACCACTTGACTATTTACAAAGAGCAAGAACCATATTTAAACAGGGTTACATTTATACCTTGTTTACATTTAAAAGTCATAAAAAATAACAAGTTTCCTGGCTGGTCCAGTTCTCCTCCAGTTTCCAGCTCTGCAACGACCTAGATATGTATTTATGGTGCCTTGTTCCTGTTGTAAAATGACGAATGGGAACTGCCAAATTAAGTGCTCAGAGTAGAAGAACTTCAGCTTCCGATGGTTCTTGTCTGAAACTTGCTCCTCGCACTCAAGAGTGATACAGTCCATATCCCAGCATAGAAAATAACTCCTAGTTCAGCTGGACTATAGAGAGAGGAGGAAAAATACTGTGGGGTCTTGCTTCTATAAACGCTTCTGGATTCTTTCACTGAAGGATCTCTCGGTTGAGGGGAGGTGGGAAAGCACCAGCTGTGGCTTTAAACTGCTTCCTATTCCTAGCCGTGAGAGATCTCTTAGATGACACACTTTCAATAGCTAAAGGGAAAACTTTGGGGGGGTGGGTTTTTTTTGTTTTTTTATTTTTATGCGAACAAAGTCCCAGCCCTAATCTCCTGCATCTTGTTGCCTTATTCCAGCTTCCCTTTGCTTTAATCCCAGTCCTCACGTTCACCAGCCTGCATCCTGTGATGAATGACTTCGCCAATGGACTGTAAGTATGAAAAGAATCCCACCCACCTGACCTTTTCCTGATTTAAAACCATTTGATTTAGCCCTGAATACTGATATCTATCTTGGGTGCTTGGTCCCAATAAATGTGATATCTGAGCACAACCTTTAATGTATTTATCCTCGCAACACCCTCTGAGGGAGGGGAGTTTTATCCCCATTTTACATATGGGGAATTGAGAGGCTAAGTGACTTGCCCAAGGTCACATGGGAACTTTGTGGCAAAGTAGAAGAACCAAGTCTCCCAAGTCCAAGCTGGCACCCTAACCACTAGGCCTTTCTTCCTCCCTCAGTACAGGGCTAACTGTTCACGAAAACGTGTGAATTGTTTTTATTCCCCAAACAGTATTAGAGTTCTTCTGCTTTTAAGCTTCTTATACATAGCCCAGTCTCCCCAAGATCTGTTTGACCACTCACTCTCCTTGGAGTGGTGCCCAATATGTCACTTCTAGAAACAGGTGTGTGTTTATTGCTTCATGAGCTCTGTCTTGACCTCTTTTCTTGTCCCTTTATCTAGTCTGTGTTTTTTAGTCTAAAAGTAGCAACCCTATTAGAAAAGAGTCAGTGCAGGTCAACGAAAGTTTCTATTCTGGTGACTTCATTTTCAGAGTCTCGGCATTTACATTACAAGAAGTGTTCCCTCCAAACACCAGGGCAAATAGGAACGTCCCTCTCCCCCAAATGCCCCTGTAATCCCGTTTCTTTTGGCTTCCCTTTCAGAGGCTGGAAGATCGCTGGCGGTGCGCTCATTCTCATTGTCTGCTCCATTAACATGTATTTTGTGGCGGTCTATGTCACCGCACTGGGACACCTTGCCTTGTATGTGGTTGCAGCTGTTGTCTGTGTTGCCTACCTGTGCTTTGTAGCATATTTGGTAAGTATTGTTCTTCCACGCTCTTTGGCAAGACCACTGCTGTATAAAATTGTGATTCCGGTGATGATTGGGCTGAGGCAGCTTGTAGGCAGGACTGAGAAAATGCACTTGCTTTCCCAGGAGCCGGAAACGTTTATTTAATAAACCATAGAACTCTTACAAACACTAATCCTCGCCATCCGCCAGGTGCATAATTTCAGATATGTGCCTCAGTTTCCCATAAGTCAAGACACGTTCAAGCTCCACTCAGTTCTGTGCTCAGTGCACTACTCCTTGCAACTTCTTACCTTCCATCCAGTTCCTTTTGTGACTCATCTAATAGTCTGATGGGGGGAGAGCACCTGAATCACGCAAAATTTCAGATCTGTTTGTGTGTATTCAAATAGTAAGAGGGGACAATTATGTATTTGTTTAAAAAAAAAAAGGGGGGGGGGGGGGAGAGTCTGTCAACCTGCAGTTTAACTTTCCTTCCTATGACTGCTCCTGTATCTCCAAGTTTCTACTTATTGTGAAAAGTGTGTCAAAGTTTAGAACAGCTTATAACCATGCTCAACAATCTATTGAATGGCTTTCACAATCTCAGCAGGCTTAATGTGCTTTAACATCCTTAACGTTCCCTGTAGAACTCATTATGAAGAGATTTGGTAACTTGACTTTTGTGTAATTACTGAAAAATAGCATCGAGTAATCCCTCCATGTTTCCTTTCATTAAAGTGCAGCTGCTAAAAAGATTGTAACTTGCAGCAATGTTTCTCATAGCCCACTCCTCCTTCTTTAATTCCAGAGCTGGCTGTGTCTGATTGCTCTTGGGATCTCCTTCCTGGCCTGTGGGCAAACGGTAAGCGTCACTAGAACAGGGCTTACTGAAGAACCGCCTGTCACTCAAATTAACTAAACACTGGGTCTGTCTGCACACAGCAGGTAGCCATCAGAGCCAGTGCGTTTCTATGGTTTACTGTGTGAACATATCCAAACGTAAGTGCAATTTGCACGGAAAATACTTGTGTAAGTTTGTTGTATAAAAGCTCAGATGTACGTACTGGGAAATATTTTGTTACTCATCTCTTTAGTTATCTTAGTAAGTTTCCTTGCTGACCCCCTCTAATCACACACCTAATCACAAACATAATGTTATGTTGCTGCTGGAATAGATGTCTGCTTTGCAATGTAGGAACTGCATGAAACTTACCTATTATCCAGACACTAACCAGCTTAACAGCCTGGCAAAGAGACACTCTGTGTTCCAAAATGACACTTCCATTTAGCTAGTTCTCTGCCTCTGAAGTCTTCCAGTGAATCTGTAATACAAGCTGCTAAACAGAAATCAAGCTGCTTGGACAGTATCTGAAGTGTTAATCCTCCTTCTCACAATTAGACAAGCAACATGTAAAGTCTGTGACACTAAGTGATGCAATCTACCTCCACAGATCAGAATTCAATCGTATTCCATAATCTCAAATTGACCTGTTTATTTTGCACTCTAAATGCATTAGAAAATAGTTACTGGTTACAGTTAATCAGAATGAATATGGGGTGCAGAAATTCGTTCCTGGAGGTGGGAATTGTGTTGGAGAAATCCTAGCCCATAAACACTAGAAGTCTAAGCATTAGAGTTGTCATATTTTTTTCCTACCTGGTATGTGATTCTGGTGATCAGCAAGGGTAAAAAATAAATCAATGTTTACAGGTTGTTTATGATTCTGTGAATTATTTTGTATGTATGGCATTAATAGAAATTTTCTCTGTATTTTCTGCAATTTCCTGTATCATGACTCATGGAGTGTAACGTAACAGAATATGCTAAAAGCCTTCCATGATTTGGGTCTCCAGTTTTTTTAAACTTACTTACTTTCACTTCCAGTCTGGCCCTTTATACTTTCCCCATTGTACTTCCTGCTTCTCCCACCTCCCAAGGCAGTCTTAAAGGTCACAGTGAGAAACGTGCATTCCTTTTCTCTGTTTGGGAAAAGACTGCACATTTTGTCCTAATTTTATCATGCATTAAGTGGTTATATCCTTGGGGATATACTATTGTTTTTAGGGGAGGGGGGGGGGGAACGTGTGTTCATGAGTGGATCCTGTAAAGCGAACCTGTAGGGAAACTGAAGTCCTGGATCTTATTGAGTAAGATTTTCCTTCTATTACTACTTGATAGACGTTTTAGCTGATAACTCTGTGTGTAAGCATTTGTGTTTGCGTTGAGGTATTTTGATAGGTATTTTCACAAGAATTCAACTGATCTCAATTCTGTCCTTCATCTTATGTGCCCATCAGATATTTTGATCTGTACTAAATTTTAGTTTGTGCCTTAGTTTTTTCACCTTTTTAAGAGAACTGGGTTCAAATCCTGACATGGGTCACAAGTGAAAGTGGCTTCGAAAGGACTTCTCAATCCCTCTGTGTGAACCTACCAAAAGCATGGCACGATTGCAGTCTGCTCAACAGAGGCTAGGGACTGGAATAGCCGAGGTATTACAAGATACAGGATTGGGGTCCCCTGGAAGATCTGTGTGGGTTGCACAGCATCTCCCCTTCCTTTGCCTGACTTAACCCATGCTATTAGTCCTCCACTCTCCTGATCACTAAAATTAGTCCTATTTTTTTTTTAAAGTGGGAATATTTTATTGAGCATGAAAACATACCTACATTAGCCAAACTTAGTTTCTGTAGTTCTAATTGGAGACCAGGTTTTCTCAGGTAATTCATTGTCTTAGTGTTTATCATGTTCATCACAAGAGAGGTGATTCTTCTGTGCAGATAAAGGGGGTTATCCATGGCTTTCAGAGGGTTGGAGAGACAGATTTCACAAGGGAATGGTAGCTTTTTCTTTTTATTGTAATGCCTCTTGTTTGGACAAACTTCAGACTGTAAGGGACATCCATCATGTCGATGGGAGGTAAAACACATGTCCAGAGTAAGTGTGGAGAATGCCTTTAAATATTTTCCTGTATGGAAATGGCATGTGGTTCTCACTGGGTGGTGTGAGAACATTGAGTTTAGTTCAGGCTTGACCACTTCCATATTCTTATCCGTTGTAGCAGTCAGAAATAGATACTGAATGTTACAATTGCTGTCTTGCCAAAGCAAAGGCATACAGCCAGATTCTCCCATTGCCCTGCGACTTGCCATAGTCCATTATATCCGCTTTGCACTGAGGTTAAAATGCTACTGAATCAGAACAGTAAAAGTTTACAACTGCTTTGCCCTAGACTACACAAGGTGTTGGACAATGGAGAGTCTAGCCCATAGTCTCAAATTGCTAGAGTAAAGTATAAGCCTCACCGTTTCCAATAGTAGTAAAGAACACCTACATGTGCGGCTCCTGTTATGATAATAAGTGCAGACATACAGGAAAGAATAAACTCCCAAGTGCATAAATGAGTTGGTTTCATAAATTTGGTAAGGAATTCAGTGTTAGGAAGGCTGTAACTATGAGCAAGAGACACGATGAATTTGTGATGGCAAAAATTAAAGCTGCTAATCTTTTTTAATGATCGTTTTGACTCAGCCTACAAAGTTGGCTAATTTACTCTTAGTCAAGATAACTGACAAAACATACTTGACGTAAGTATTAATGCTTGATATAAAGAAAAAAATTACTTCACTTAGCGTTTTAGTTCAAAATTCCAGCTAGAAATCCTGAGCATGCATCCTACTTACTGCCAGGGTTTGTAGTCTTATACTAATTCCGCTGACTTGTGTGTTAATCTGTCTTCCTTTGGCAGTAAAATTCTAGGGACTGTCTAACCAAAGGCACATTTATGATCTAGAACCGCTGTTAGCCTTGAATCTAGCTGCCTTCATTCACTTATAAGTTCCTGTAGTTTAATTTTTATGCCTTTAGATTTTCATGCATTTTAAAAATTTCTGGTTTGTAAAAGTGTCAAAAATGCATGACCACTGTGAACATGTATGACTGTCACTGTTGGATATGATGCGAACTGTATATCAAAATCACCGCTATATGCGGGAGCGTCTGTATAAAGTCCTCTTAGTGTGCTATAATTTAGCTTCTATTCTATTCATTGTGAAACTTAATTTTTTTTTTAATTGAGCATGAATCAATTTGTATGCACTACATTTTCAATTAAAAGAATAGACACTTTTTCAACTTGGTTTCTTGGGTCTTTTTTTTTTTTTTTATTGCGACACCCAGTATGTTGCTTTAAAAGAAACTCGTATTGATGCCCAAATGATTGAGATGCTATAGAGTTACTGGCCCTGTACACTAGATTGCATGCAAACCTTAGTATTTCTATACTAACTCTCTCCAAGCTGTGCATAGTAACTTCTCACTAGCTGCTGTTGCCAGAAATTGTCACTACGGTCCTTGTTCGTGTAAGACATTCAACCAAGAAGCTATCTTGGCTTGATATTCTCCACTCCCTTCAGGGCAGTATTGAGTGCTTCTGCTCCCAGCAATAGCAAAGGATTGATCTGCTATTAGCTTGTGCAACCTAACTACCCGAATATAATTCTTGCTAGGGTTCAGTTGAGCATTTTTATAGGTGTCTTTGGGTGGCTCTATTTGGAAGACAAACTTACCATTCTACATTAAGACCATTTACTGCTACGTTTCTGCATGTCTTGCCACTTCCTGATCCTCAGTCAAAATAGCAAATGCACTAAAACAATCTGATTGGTTTTAAGCTATCTCACCTCCCCACTTACTCACAAAACAAATCAAATGCCAACATGTTTTGGCCAGGAACAACCTTAATAGGGGATAAACTCTGCTTAGTTGGAATAGGAATGATCTTATTCAGGAGTTCAGGCATGGTGATATAATGGTCCCATTCTGGCCTTAAAATCTATTTGGGAGTCGGGAGGGAATTCTGATAGAAGCAGGCATTGCACACTCCATTCTTTTTTTTTAAACAAACCTGAACTTTTACTTCTGTTCAGAAATTGATCTTTGTGTTACTATGTGATATGGGAACTTTCTTTCCCGTTTTTTATTACAAGCTTTCCCTACCTGCTTTAAGTGAACTGGAAGCTGTAAGTAATGCATATTATTTATTTCTCTTAGAGGAAACACTGAATTTTGTAAGTTCGCTACAGGCCTTTAATTAAATTAATACCTATTTAGTTTCTTTGTTTCTACCGTGTAAGAAACACTTTTGGTAAGTTTCAGTCCATTGAAAACTCTTGTCTTGCCTTTTGATTTCTAACAACTGAATTTTTAAACAAATTTTGAATAATTAAGCATGAACTTAATCTTCACAGAGGAGAATAACTTTATCTCCTATATACGTGGAATCAATCAAACTTGCATGTTGATGTAACAGGAAATTATAACGGAGAAAGATACCATCCTTAATTCCCCCCAACAGAAACAGTAATGGGATATTGCATCTGTGTCCCTTGCATATTTTTGTAATATGTATTGATGTGAAGTATTGTGTCCATTAAATAAAAACTTATTGACAGCCATTGCTCTCATAAGCTAACTTGTAAATCAGACACAAATCCCTTTTAAAGAGAGTCCTCAAACTACTGCAGCTGAGACATAAACTGGATACAAAACAGGATTTTATAAAGATGTAACCCTTGGGTCCTAGAGCATAGCAGCATATTCTTTGGCTGGCCACTAGTGACTGAAGCCTGTCCAGATACTCTCTGGCTAATTGAGAGTGCACCCTGGCAGAGAAAACCTGTTGCACTGAAACAACATCCACTGTTTGCTTAACTAAACTTTCTGTAACAAATTCACACTACTTGAAAAGGGTGAATCCTGTGTTCTGATAAGTGGAGATTGGGTTTTCCTGTTGGATCACACTCTGTGACCCTACTGCTAATAATCTAGTAGGTAATTAATGTACAAGATCTACTGTAATAAGTGATAATCAGCATGGAAAGACGGAAAAATCTGTCTCCTGTCTGTTCTAGCGGCTGAATCACCTTTGTTTTTTAATCAGCTGCATGTTGCTTCAATCTTTCAATGACACTCCTTCAGATTAATCAAAATAACTTTAATAAATCACTTAATTGTGGTACAGTATTTATTTATAACAAATCAGATTTTCTGCTGCTGATTAAAGAATAAAAATTGATTTAATGCTTTGGTTTTAACATCTAACAGCCTCACAAAACTTGGATTTTATTTTATTTTGTATAATGAAAGTGGCAGGACCAAAGAATCAGTCATCTAGTTAAGTACGATTCTATCTTATCAGATTATGGTTTAGATGGCCTTATGAGCTACAGTAGAACCTCAGAGTTACGAACACCTCGGGAATGGAGGTTGTTCGTAACTCTGACATTTTTGTAAGTCTGAACTAAATGTTATGGTTCTTTCAAAAGCTTACAGCTGAATATTGCCTTAATAAAGCTTTGAAACTTTACTATGAAGAAGAAAAATGCTGCTTTTAACCATCTTAATTTAAACAATCACAGAAACAGTTCCCTTATTTTGTCAAATATTTTTTTTAACTTTGCCCTTTTTTTTAGTAGTATACATTTAACACAGTACTGTACTGCAGGGGTCCCCAACGCGGTGCCCGCGTGCGCCATGGCGCCCGCCGGGGCATTTATGTGTGCCTGCCTACTGGCCGCCAGACAAGCAGCCGCCAAAATGCCACCGAGAAGCGGCAACGTCAAGAAGTCGGCGGCAATTCGGTGGCGACGCCTCTTGATGACGCTGCATTTCGGCGGCGACGCTTCTTGACGTTGCCACTTCTCGGCGGCTGCTTGTCCGGCAGCCACAGTCCTCGGTCCGGCGCCTGCCACACAGAAAAGGTTGTGGACCACTGCTGTACTGTATTTGCTTTTTTTGTCTCTGCTACTGCTTGATTGCGTACTTCTGGTTCCAAATGAGGGGTGTGGTTGACCGGTCAGTTCATAACTCTGGTGTTCGTAACTCTGAGGTTCTACTGTACTGTGTGGCTTGGAGCTACTTGGCCTTCTGGCAGTACCAGTTCCTAAGGGCTTGTCTACATGGCACTAACTGGCTGCATAGCCTCTGCTTCCGCGCACTAAAAATTCCATGGTGTGCTTTGACGTACTGCTGTTTCAAACACCCTGGCTTGCTGTGCACTAAATCAGGGTGTAGGCAAGCCTTTAGTGAAATAAAACTGCAGCGTATGTAGCAGTTCAGAGAGACTAGCACTTAACTGCTGGAAAAGAACTTGGTCTTGGTCATGCCTCTGTGCCTGTGGCATGCAGTTGTCTCAATGACTACCTGCCCTGGAGGATTATTCTCTACATGGACGCCAGGCTACTTGCACTTCTGGGTTGTACAAGTCCTATGAAACTCATTGTCTGAACAAAATAAGATGTTTCTGTATTATTTCAGGATTTGAAGCGTTGATCCATGACTTTTTAACAAAGTTTTAGGCTAAAGAAAGCCAAAGCATAAAACCCTCTGTTTAGTGACTTTAACCTAATCACCCTTGATTTCACTGTCTTTGGCTTCTGTTTCAAAGTGGTTTCCCTAATTTTCTTCTTTGCCTTCTCTAGTATCAGCTGGGACTTACTACTCACCCTGAACTCTTCCTTCTGAACAATGTCGATGCAGACTCAATTGTGACTAGATGATTCCCTGAACTGCAGTAGCAAGAACAAAACCAATTTTGAAGCCCTTTGTGCTGCAGAAAAGGATTTTCCTTACTTTTGGTTAGTTCAGAAACGGGTATGGTCAAGCATCATGAATGACGGAAAGATTTCCTCCGAGAAGGAGCACAGGATAAAACTGACATCTGCAGAGGAGTATCAGATGGAATCAACAGACGTTGCACTTGACATCAGCCATGAAGGTTCTCAGAGGACCAATGAAGAGCCAGAGTCAAACCAGTTCATAGTATCACATACCCTATGGGTTTGTCTTCCCTTTAGGTACTCGAAATATTTTCTTTAATCCTTTTTTTAATTGTAAATTATTTGGGTAGTAAATTATAGATATTTGAATATCTTATTGATTTAGATCTAAACTTATTCTGCTTGGTGTTTCTTAGGTCAGTTAAATGATGGGACACTAACCTGTTTTCCAGCTTTTGGAAGATTGTCCAAATGAGTAACGTTAAGATTTTACATTTGATTTTGAATGATCTCATTTATGAAGTACACTAAGGAGACTACACAATGAGAAATAATTAACTCAAAAGGATGGGCAGATTCTGAAGTGCAAATCCATTGGAGCCTAAGGAAGAAGCGTACAAGGCGTCTGTCAAATGCAGATTATGTTCTGGGTATGCTCTTCCATTTCTGCTCCCTTCTGTCTAAAAACGCCCTCCCTATCTGTCCAGGTACTTAGGTGCTCAGGTACTATAGCAATGAGTCCTATCATCTCAAACCTCTCTAGCCTCCACTGTGGCTATCTGAAGAGGTCTCCTACTCCAAGAGCGTGGCAATCCTCACTTCCCTGCCCACCTCTTCTAAGCATCTGGCCAATTCTGAGCCGCTCTAGGATTTTATTTCAGGTACTTGCCTTGCCCCCCACAACTACATTGCTGACTGCTGCGTAGGAAATGGTAACTACAGGGTAACTGGAATGGGAGGACACAAAGAGCTGTATCTTTGTGCATTCAGTCTAACTTTGTTTTCTTTGTCATCACATCCCCGCTTTTATTTGACCGACAGTGTGTTGAAATGCTTAATTCTCAATTTCAAAATACAAACGATTTGTAGAGGCAATGCAAGTTTAGATTTTACTCCTGACATCAGAGGTAGGGATCTATAGAATCCTTGATTTAAGTATCTGTCTATACAGTTATAGGAGTGGACACCGCTCTATTAAGAGTGCTCACCATGGAAAGTGCCTGTTAACTACTAAATCCTGAAGAGGGAACTTCAAAATTTCTTCATGTAGTTCTTCCAGCCATAAATGTAACTGAATAAATCCCAAGTGCAGTTACACAGCAGCTTCCATCTGTAGGTGAAATGTGGCCTCTTGTCTTAAGCCAGCCAACCCCCACAGAATGGGGTTAACTTTTCCTGGGACTAGCTTTACACAAATGGAATTGAACATGAGCTTTGCATTTTCATGCCATTTCAAGAAGTCTTGAATGATTAGGATAATTTCTGAGAATTGGATGGTTCCAAACTCAAAGCTTGAGGCCATGATATTCTGGGTGGGAAAGTGTGTTTTGTTTTGGTTTTTTTTAAAAGAATAAATCTTTTGCAGTTGTGCTAGGAACCCTGAGGCAGGAACTGCCTTCAAATGGAAGATACCCTGAATTATATTTTTATATCTGTCTATGTGGACTCAGTTCTGAGGCATCTTACTTCTGTTTTTTAATTAAATCTCTTACCAATGAAGCATTTCTATCCCTGTGTATTTGGCACTCATTTATTAAATATATTGATTTCACTTTGACTTGTGATGAACATGATGGAAGTCTAGACTGTCAAATAAATGTGTCAAATTCGCTTTAGCTTTTTCTGTTTAGGCTTCATTTGCTTAAGAAATAATGCTGATATTCTTCAGGTCAGATGACCCAGAAAGTTGTTAACTTTCACTGGCTGTTTTCTGTACAAGAACAGACTGTACAGTGTGAACAGCTGCAAAAACTCGTAGCTATTACATGCGAGGGAAGTAAAACGCTACCAGTGTGAGTTCTGAATGCAGTACACCAGAGGATATTCTCTGGCTCCAAACTGTAGTGAGACCCTAAAGTTTGGATTGAAGTGTAGCATGGGCAATGGTGTCCAAGTTTCCACCAGTTAATGTGGAAAAGTATAAACACGTGCTGTAAATGTTTTTGCAAAATGAGTCTTACTCAGATATTCTTTTTCTCACACTAAAGCTTTGTCTACACCAGGGGTCGACAAAGTTTGGCACACGGCTCGCCAGGGTAAGCACCCTGGCGGGCCGGGCCAGTTTATTTACCTGCTGATGCGGCAGGTTCGGCCGATCACGGCCCCCACTGGCCGCGGTTCGCCGTCCCGGGCCAATGGGGGCGGCGAGAAGCGGCGCGGGCGAGGGATGTGCTGGCCGTGGCTTCCCACCACCCCCATTGGCCCGGGACGGCGAACCGCGGCCAGTGGGGGCCGCGATCGGCTGAACCTGCCGCGTCAGCAGGTAAATAAACTGGCCCGGCCCACCAGGGTGCTTACCCTGGCGAGCTGCGTGCCAAACATTGCCGACCCCTAGTCTACACTACCACTTTTGTCGGTCAGGAGTGTGAAAAAGAAAAACCACACACCCCTGACCGACATCAGTTTCACCGGCAAAAGTGCTGGTGTGGACAGTGCTATGTCAGCAGGAGAGGCTCTCCTGCCAACATCACTAATGCCGCTTATTGTAGGTGGTTTAATTATGCCAGCGGAAGAGCTCTCTCCTGCTGGCAAAGCGCAGCTACACAGGAGACCTTACAAGCGGTACAGCTATGCCGCTGTAAGGTCTGTAGTGTAGACACAGCCTAAGTCTGTTGCAGGTGGTAGTTGCTTTTGTTTTTAGTAAATCCCATTACAATGTTACCTTGACCAATGTGGATTAGGCATCTAGCAAGTGGCCTACTGGGCTTCTGCTTGCTGCTGTAGCTACATACAAGGGACACTAAGGATCTTGGTTTAAGGCTGAGGAATAGACCCCTCTCAGCTGATTCCCTTTAGAGGCAGGCTGCCTCTAGCCTTGGTCTCTACCCCAGTTGGTGCTAGCTATAATTTGTTGCATCTTTCTGTGGCAGGCAAGTCTCCGCCTGTACAGCAACTGAACCAGGAGTCCCTCTAACATGTGTGTTCTCTCTGGGGAGTTCTTAAATAGCTGCCAGAGCTTTTGTTTGCAAACACCGTTGCTTTAGTTGGAAGGAAGAGGCTCTTGTTGTAATCTCATTACTTGCATCACGTTAATCACTGCTGTGGTTTAGAGAGCATCTTTGTTAAACCAGATATGTCCAGCAGGTGAATGTCTCAATGGTAATGACGTGAAATACGCAACAGGCCAAAGAGCCGTGACCCAGTATTTCATAGTGAGCACCTGTTGTAGCTATAACTATTGGCTTCAGCGAGTTGAAACATGAGTATTTTATTGTAACCAAGTGGGTTACCCTATATATAAAGCTTTAATAAATAAAATAGCATAAATAAACAGCTAATATAATATATTAGCACAAAACTTTTAAACAACCAGCAATGGTACAAGACATTGGACTACTCAGGACTTCTGTTAACTGTCTGCTGCCAACCCCAAAGAACAATCTTGCAATGCTCTCTTTCCATATTGTAGCCCTCTTTCCTAACTAGGATGCACTGCAGCATTCTGAGCTTGATGTAGGTAGATGGCTGCCTCTGCCCCAGATAACAATTCTCCTCCTTGCACAGTACTCTAGCTGGCAGGGATTGCTGAAACATTGGTACTGACTGTGCTGTCAGTCATGCTGAGTCTATTGCCTCTAGCATCATAGACATGGATATTGTGAGTTTAGGTATTGATCCCAACAGTTGGCTTTAGCATAGAGCAGCCGTTCAATGGCAGAGCTAACAGAAGTCCTGGTGATGATTACTTAAAATTCTTACAATGTTTACATATAGAAATTCTAAATAATTAATACTGAACATATGCTTTCCTCTCCTGCTTGCGCCTATGGAGTTGGTTCACTTTTTGGCCCCATTCTTGAACTGAGGTTTAACGTAATCCTTATACATAGAGAAGAGAACACCTAACAAAAGAGAGCAGATACTGTTATCTATTGGTGTTTTCCATATGAAAGAGAGTTCATGCAAACAGTTTTTTGCTTCTTTTCATTTAATTATAATGTCTGCAAACTAGCACCAGTAAAATTATTTAGCAGTAAAAATGTCTTCTCTAAATATCCTAAAAAATAAGTGGTGCAAGGAGGTAACAGCTGGACATTAAATGGTCCAATAAATCCCAATTTGAATTGTTATATCCTGAATCATGAGCTATAGTGATTTACAGAAGATATAGCTGTTAGCTCTGAAATGGGAGAATACTTGCTGAAAGTAGAGGTAAGTCAAGCAGCCTCTGAGAAGGCTCACTACTATGTGGGCAGAAGACTACCCCATCCGCCCCCCAGAAAAAGGCTCAGCTACTGAAAAGGTATCTTAAAAAGGTTTCTGCACAAATCAGTATCTTACCTATTGTTATTGCTCCTACGACAAAGCCTTGTGCTGCAACTCTCATGTGAATGAGATGGACTGACAGTTTCTGATCTCCTCTGTGTTTTAGCTTGTAGAGACCATAGCCCACGACAGCAACAAAGCCTGCCATCCCTATGCATTCAGAAGGAGGGTGAAGTTCAATAAATGTGTAGAACCAGAAAATGTAACTTTGGCTTAAAGAATGTCAGATAAATTACTCTAAATACTACATTCGTTAAGCTAAAATCTACCAAACAGTGCATAGGGTGAAGAATCAGCATATTAAGGGTTTGCAGAATCTGCCCCTTCTGATCTAAAAAAGTAGTGTTTACCAAATGCTAAATTAGACATGCTGTTTGAACAAAGCATCCAACTTTCTGTACCAGAAAATAGTGGTTTTGTTCCCAAAACCATCTAGTGTAGCCATATCCACTCTCATATTATCTGACTTTTTTTCTTTCTGAAGTAGGGAAGGAAGCATCAACTAGAGGTTTAATTTTCTCTGCCTTTTTTGCTTTTGAAGTTGTCAGGGCCTGTAAATCACTTTCAATTACTTTTGTTATTTGGTATATAAATTGAATAACTAAATTATTCTTTTATCTTTCAATTACAACCACCCCCACACGCTGCAAAAAAGCAAGCTGTGTCCTTGCAACCTGCTAAATTGACAACAGTGTATACAGATTAGCCTGTGTTCATTTAGTCTGGTACATACAAATCACTTTAAGGTTTAGAAGAGCTGCTGTTCTGACAGTCCTGCTGTTGCTGCTAAATGTTAGGGAAGCCTAATGAAGTTTGATGGATGAAACTTGGCCAGGCTTCTCCTTGCCTTTCCAGGTCTGCACAGTTCCTGAAAACCTAGTATTCTGGATGTGACTCATCTCACTTAATATATTGGCTTTTAAAGGAAGGTCTGATTCAATGGTGTGTGAATATGGAAACCGGTAAAGCTCTGTTTCTGAGGGAAGAACCCTCATGTAGAAGGTACTATAGGAAGCTGCACAATTACAGTAAAGACACCTTTTAAATGAAGGTT